CATGCTTAAGAATACGGATTACTGACTGGGTCAACACTAATAATCTGCCCATCACAAAGTATAATTGCTAGGTAAATTATTATAGAACCTTTATGGATTTGCTTGTGTGCATGGATTTTAATGTATTTACGTTTCATACTACCAGAAGATATACATGAGAAAGGCATGAATGAAGGGGATGATTAGTATCTGATGAGATAATACCTGCTAGGAGTTTGCAAGACTTAAGATATCTATCCACAACCATATTATTAATGACCTCAAAAGATTCGCCACACACCTTGCTAAAAGCCTCTAGCACTCTCCTCAACACAGTAAAACCTTTTCCCAAAAGCCCGGGCAAGAATAATGGAGAATAGTAAAGAATAATAGGCAACATGCAGGAATTTACAAGTTGTAAGCGTAAATGGCGAGTAATCCCAAAGGCATGCAGCCTCTTTATGTAGTCAATGGAAAAACGTTCTTCGATGACAGTAAAACATGAGAAGACCAAGAGAGATCAGAGGAAAAAGTAACAACGAGACGATTGACTTTCGACACTATTTATCAAGGACTCTCTGCTGGCACAAGCATTATTGGATCCCGACATGCTGTTCATATCTCAGACTAAAGTTTACAGCTTGACATTCAGACGGATTAAGTGTAAGGCCATAAACAACAGACCACCATTCAATACGAGACAAAAACTCACTCGTTTCAGCAGGATGTAAGGAGGTAGAAATTGGCATACATACAGTGATGTCGTCGCATATTTCACAAAAGTGTTTTCTATGGAAGGTGGCAGATCATGCAGAAAAAAAAGAGAAAAGAAGGGGTGAAAGAACAGCTCATTGTGGCACACTTTCATTAGACAGTAGAGGCATTGAACACTCTCCCCCAAACACAGTGTACCGTTTTCTTCCAGAAAGGTAGGAACATAGCCAATCGGTTATCCAGCCATCACTGTTGATGCCGATCAACCTGTTAAGTAAGAGGTGTCTTGGGACAGAATCAAAAGCATAGTCCAGAAAAGCGTATCAAACATACTTCTTACCCTATTCCAGGCCGAACACTATATTGTGATGAGGAACATCAACGGCATCTAATGTGCTTCTTTTGCATTTGTAAGCAAACTGATATGGATCACAGTGCTCTTTTATGGGAGGTTGAAGTGGGAGTATCATTAATTTTTCCATCATTTTGAGGAAAGGTGAAGTTATTGCTGTGGGCCTAAGTTTCACATTTTTATCACCAGATACTTCCTTAGGTACAGGGATTTTCTTTATCTTTCTCCACATTTTCGCTAAGACATTAGTTGAGAAGGATCTGTTAAAGATATTCGTGAATGGATTACATAGAACGTCAGCACATTTTTTAAAAAGAAGGATACCATCAGGTCCTGAAAATTGGGATGAATCGAGTGACTGGAGAAATTTCGGACATCATTTTCAGGGAAATTAAGTGCACAACTATTCTTCAAACCTGTGGATATAAGGAGCATGACATCAGATTACTGTCGTACAAATGACTTATTTAGGTCGCAAACATTCAGCTGGTTATTGCTTCTGATATACCTGTCACCTGTAAGTTCTTTAAAGAGTTTCCACATACTTGGAGAGTTGAGACGTCTAATCTTTAGGCTAATTTGACCATTTAGCTTACAAATTTCAATAGTGTTTTTCTCATTGTACATTCTTTCTTTTACCCTCTGCAGTCATTTTAGTTGTGGAGACGTAAGTTGATCAAAACTTAGAAAACTGGTATCAATAAGACAACAAATATCAAAACAGAATTTAAAATAACATGTGATAACATCAGTAGTGTTTTCCAGTGAATCACCTGTTAAAAATTCCTAGTTAGTCATATGAAACATGTTTTTCAGATTTTATATATTTCCTTCTGAGTAATTCCTATATATTACTTTTTTGGTCTGGTGTAAAGATGTATTCTTTCCATGTTTTCCGTATACTTTAGGTAGAACACGAACTACACAGTAATCCCAGCTAGACAGTGGATCACGTTTACGAGTCACATATGTACCCATACCATTATTGAAGATGAAGTTTAAATGAGCATCCAAAGGAGTAGGAAAATGTACGATATTTTGGTTACCTAGTGATGTAAGGAAGCTACTGTCACATGAATTAAAATCACCACATGCAATTGAAAGTGAACCACTAAAGGCAGTAACAGTGAATTCAGTAAATTCATCGGCAAAAACAGATAGCTCAGATGATGTGCAATCTGGAGTCATGTAAATGTAGGTAACGTAATCGTATTTGTATTTATTCAGATGTTTTAGACGACATCCTAAAGTTAGACGGTCGATAAAGCCATTTAAAAACTTGAAACAAGCAAAAGTAGATCGACACCAGTTAATGTTTGCAAACGTAGCTACACCGCCGACACACCTCTTTTTATTGTTTGATCGATCCTGACGATAGATATTGAAATCACGTGTTGACACTAAGCAATCGTTCTGTACATAAGTTAATCAAAATTCTTGGATTGTGATGACACCACTATTACGATACATTTTTCGCTTAGTAGGAATTGGAGGTAGTCCACCTTCTTAATTAGTGATAGGCAGTAAGAATTTAGCACCTCAGAAATCGACATGTGATTAGTGTTCATTCTCTTTAATGCATACTGCCAACCACCACGATGTCTCTTATAGTGCTTTTTTGCAATTTTTGCAGCGAAAGGACGTAAGCTTTTCATAAACGCCCCCGAATGGGTGATGTGATTAATAGACATAATGATGTGTTAAAAGAAAATTGAAAAATCAGACAACTTGTTGAAACAGGTGGTCCAAATATTCAGGCGGGCCGTCTAATTAATACCGAGCGACAACCACGTCAAAGTGCTATTTAGCTGTATAAAAGCATGAAGCAGGCATAAACAGCACGAAAACTGACGTGCAACAACAAAAATGCTGCTCACGGCTGATAAATGAAGGCACTCAAGATATTTTACAACAAGAAACAAGTGCGGGAGAACACATAATTTAAATTATTTTTTCAGGTCCGATTTCACTGACAATGGAAAGCTGAACTTTCAGCTACCAACGTATTACCATAGACTAACGCTCTTCTATTCGTGTCACTCGGTATTCGCAATCCGGTGAAATCTGATGTTTAACGCAATATATGACAGCTCGTTTACGGAACGGCACTTCAACTCCCACAGCAATTTATGTACCCTCCATCCTCTTTAATGATTATAGGTCTAAACTCTTACTTGGGTAGGGTTAAAAATGCTACGAGTTCACCTTCACCTGTTCCCACTCAGCAGCAGCCGAACAATATTTTCGTTCAACCAGCCTTACGACATAGTTCACACGTTCTCACTACTCTGACCCCTCGAAACTATATGCAAGAGGTCCCTCAAATTTCTTAATTGTCAACCTGAGTGCTATGCCGTCGGAAAAAAAGGAACTAACGATAATTCTAACATCTTAAAGTTGAGTATTTAGAAAGAAGTTCTAATGTTGTTGATTTTCCTTCCATACAATCGAACAATATGAGCCTCACAAATACGATACTATCGCCGATAATGAAGAACCGCAACGAAACCCCGCTGATATCCGAAAACCGGCCCAATACAATGCGCTTTGGGATAAGGACAAGCTTTCAAGCACACCCAAACAACTACTGCTTGTAGGATATCACAATTTTTGTTTTACCTCGCCTCTCACGTCTGACAATTATTTTTCTATATTATTATCTCGAAGATTCGTTTTTCAATATGTCTATATAGGTGTAGATCATTTTTTTACAAATCATATAAAAACCATGTGAAAAAGTATACACCAGGCTTTTTCGCATATTTTGTTTTCTTACTCAAATACAAGCGCATTCTGACGTGCACCAGTACTTTTAATATTTTATTCTTCAGGACGACTATAAAAGATTAAAAAATTGGCGAAGGATACGATCAGTCGAAAATTTTCATTGTTCATTCTTTATTGTTGTGTCGTATCATATAGCTCCTTACATTAAAGAAAGATGATCAGGTTTTGCTAGACATAGCAAGCCATCAGAAGAGTGTTTGCCAACGACAGACTATTAGGGTTTAAACTTCTAACTGGCCATCTCGTAGGGTCACCACTGATCCAATAGGATGGAGGATTGGGCTGTAGCGGGAAATAAATTCCCAAGCCAGTGGATACGCATCCCCTTCTACTGCTAACCATCTCAGATCAAAGGTTTCTCAACACTCCATTAACCCTCTTAAATATATCTTCGAATACATTCATCCCCGACTTACGTTTAAGCTGGGTTGGTATCTTTCCATTGTAAGGATAACACGGACAAATGAGTTGTCAAAGCCTGAATATCTGTGAAATCTTTAAGGTTGACGGAGCACGATGTAAGTCATGTGTGGAGAAAATCAGATACTTAATTGGTACCCCAAGTTTGTACTGATGATTTTGTTTAGAATAACAATCATAGCTTCATGACCAAACAATCCAAATGAGAGAACGAAACTCCGCTGAAACCCAATTCGAACTAAAAGATGAATCCATTTAATCACTGTGTCCTTACCCATAGGAGTATACACACCTTTTAGGTGACGTCCTTACACCCTACAGCATTTTTGACTCTCCTTGACACCCCTTTGGATACCTACTTAATTTCGGTCACAATAGAAACTGTAGGGTCGACACCCTGAATTCAGAGGCACAACATAGCAGAATGGACTGTAGCAACGCCTTCTACTCTTTAGGATCAGTCACATCCTGGAATTCGCTACCGGATGAGGTGGTTCAAGCGACTTCAACAGAATTCTTTCATGAAGAAACTTGATGTATTCTTAATGACCTAGGACATTATCTCAACATAATTTACTGATATTTCTTTTGCCCTGTTGGATATACCTGGGTTCCTACTTGAAGTCATCGGTGATCTACTGTTATTAGATATGGAAACCTGTTAACTGAAAGCTTCTATTCCGTCCACGACCAATTGAAACCATTTAATGTTTGATGTTGTGTATTCAATAACCTTGGTCTCAGGGTCATAAACCCGTACTAATTTCAGATGTCGAATTATGGACTACTGGTCGGATTTGTGATTTTAGCACTATTTTACATCTCCTCAGTGCTTGTCTGCAATTCAGAAAATGTAAACAAAGCCACTTTGAAGTAAATACAGTTGAATCTCTACAAGTTTGCAATTTATTACTAGGGCTCGAGTTAAAGAGATGTTTCTCCACGCATATAACAACTACAAGGTATATTTTATGTCACTACTTAATATTTTTGTTGTAGGATAACGCTTTCCCTGCTGATGAGCTAATGCCTCTTACCTGTAAAGGTCGGTATCGGTGGACAGGGGTTAACAGAGGTGACATAGATGATGCATTGGGGAATTTTTCGCTAACGATGCTTGACGGACTTGACAGCCTTTTTGTAAGCCATAAACTTATAAACTAAACCCATTTAGTTGATTGGAGAGCTAGACGAGTTTGAAGTTGCTGTAAAGGCTGTAACGAGAACTGTGAGATTTGATTCTGACGTTGATGTTTCAGTTTTTGAAACCAATATTCGCGTTCTCGGGTATGTTTTCAGATTTTTTGTCCCAGTTTTCCAGTAGTTTTTGAAATTTACTATCTGGTTCTAGTCCTCAATTATCATTGACACTGCAATTACTTTGGTTCAAATTATTTTTGTTTTTCCTTGATGTGTTAAAATGAAGTGTTACAAGTTGACCGATTTACATTTATCCTACATTCGACGTTTAACTGGTCCAACGAAGATAGTGTTTTTATTTCTCTATTCAGTCTCTGTGTATTCGCAAATGTTAGCAACTCAGCAGCGTGAAGCTTTTTCAGGCGATATTATATCCATGCTTGTAAATTTCCGGGAATTATGTGTTAGACTAAATGATATAGAAACTTTCACGCTCATTACCAGCGGAAATAAGACAATACTATTTTGTCATGCGTTTAGTCAGTCACTACTAGATTCACCGCTGTTATTTTTTTTGATCATCTGTGTTGTAAAACAATAGTTTACCTAACGAATCTTAATTTTTCGAGGTAATATTAGTCAGTCAAGTGCGACGTGAGACCTGGTACATGTGTGCTTCTGCACTATAATTAAAAGTAATTAAGTAATTAAAATGTTCAAAGTATAATTCACCAGGATTTTTAGTTTTGCATGTATGCATTCTATAAAATTCCTTTAGTTGTACGACGTTTTAGCATTCTTTCCCGCATGACATTACGTTATTTAGTAATGTGTCTAATTCGATAGGTTTCCGAGAGTGACATTCCGGTTTTTTACATTCTAATCTTAATGATTAAACGTACTGAACGGAACATAAGAATATGACACTATACTTCTTTTAGGATACAACATCACAGGTGTGGATGCCGTTTTGAGTTGTTAAAGTTAAAATAAACTAGCTATGCATTTGACAGTTCAAAAATCTACATTTAAATAGTTTTGCATTATGCTGTTTATACTTTCATCTATGCCCCATATTCAAACTAAGCGTCTGTCATTACGAACACGGTTTGGTTTAAGCTGCAAAATGTCTGTGGAATTTTTTGAACAAGAAACTTTAGTCATGTGATCGCTATACTACTTGTGTACTAGCACTATCCAGATCAAAATTGACACTCCCCTTTATCATGTGTTAGAAATTTACCAAATATAACGGCATTAATTACACTTCTCATTATTCGCATCACAGAAAAGACTTGTTATTTGAGAGTATCTTGAAAAACTTGTCAAGACAGTGCTACAAATTGATAAAAGTGTTTCTTGTACATTGGTATAGATTTTGAAAAAAAGCCTTTCAAGCACCGCAAGCGACATTATAAGAATGTTCGAAATGGATGTTCTATCCTCCTAGATATTGCGTTGCATTAGGAATAATTTTCATCATTGATTAACTGGACCACCCATAATCGGAATCCCATAAGTACGTTCAAATGTTCAAATTACTCTATTACCGATATTTGAAAATGAGGAACCACTCCAACTCTCACGATGCGAAGTAAAAATACAAAAGAGTGGCGCAAGGGAATATTTATTCACTCAAAACATGGCGATTCTTAGCAAAAATATACTCATTTATGTATTGATTTTTATACCAATTTAATAAATATGGGTAGGTTGCAAATATTTGACTTTTTCTGTCCTCGGCATTGTCATTGACTATAATTAAACCACTGAGTTAGCTCTTTCTTATGTAGATATTTATCCCGAAACGTCAAACACGTCAATTAATTTATCTTCATGATTTTGCTGAAAATAGTAATTTAATTGCCATGAGTAGAATAAACTCGACTTAAAGTTCATAATAGTCACCACAGAGAGATGAGATGTTAACCTACTCAAATATGGAATGATTTGTATTCCAGTTATGTCTTTTAATTGTCAGCTGTTTGAATGAGAGCTTTAGTATTTAATCAATGTTGTTTATAGCTCAGAATAAGTGTAAATGGTTCGTAGGGAAGCATAGAGATGTAGATCATCCTCGAACACTGTATTGGTATTGTCATGGTCGGCTAAAGGATATAAGTTAATTATCTTAACCGTAACTTTCAAAATTAAATCATTTATGATTGAATTTTTACAGATTTGCCACCTACTACTTAGCTATTTAAATTATCAAAAATCATTTGTCTGTCACATTCAAGTATAGTGAAAATGATGCAGAGGTATGGCTCAGTACGTGGCAAATTTTAAACTTCTTTTCGAATCCCACTACTCATTCACTTGTTGTACCTCAGTCTACCACATAAGAATGTAAATATTTGCATAGTTGTCTACATATTTTATCCTAAATTATACCATCAAGCTCAAAGACCACAACACCAATAATCGTCATCCGGAGCTACAAATATTCTTTGTCATCTCAGTATAGTTTTCATCTTACACATTTGAAATTTTCTTATAACGAATTTACTTTCAGTGGTTTGTTAGGAGCTCATGTTGCTGTCATGTCAATCAAACAAAACAATGACTCACGAATGAATTGGTATAAGAACGAACTTTTAGAAATGGCTGTTGATATTGGAAATCGATTATTACCCGCTTTTGATACACCAACTGGTATCCCTTACCCTAGAATTAATCTTCGTCATGGATATTCGGGTTTAACAAAACAAGAGGTTAGTGTTTGTAGTTAAAAACATTTTTCGTAGTTAACATCACGGAGTGACCTAAGTTAAACAATCACTGAAAACCTGGAAGCACTGGATAGCTGATTCTTTTTGGCACGAGACCCCTCATCAATGCACACTCACGACCCTGCCACTGGGAACTGAACTCAGAACCCTTGGTTTCTCACGCGAACATCGATAAAAACAGATATCCATTACTTCCTGGTTTTTAGTAGTCTAAGATTATGCAGTGAATTCAACTATGTAGTTGAAAAACCGTCATAAATTTCTAAAGTAGCGATTTTTATTTAAAATTTAACTGAACTGTCCATCTGTTTGTAGTAATATTGTGTGTGGTTTTTGTGTCTTCCATCCTATTTAAACTCACAATACTATCGTAAACGAACTTGAAAAAATGAACTACAGTGTGGTAGTTTACCGAAGGTAATTGCCTAGATAAATTGTTCAATATTTAGACATTAGTAGATTTTCAGTCCCCAAAATGGCTAGTGAAAAATTCAAACTAGTAAAAATCTCAGAAAGTATATTCAAATATACAGAGTACTACCATTATGCTCAGTGTTAAAAGAGAAATGGTAAATAAGCGTAACTCATTCACTGCAAATTATTTAAAAAAAAAATATGGACTTACAATTTCCAGTAATAGATTACAGTTGTCTCACAAACTAGCAGAAAAAAGCTTGCACCTTCCTACATATGCTTGATCGCTGGTTATTGATTTTATGGAGAGATTAAGTTTAATATTTTCTGTATCTACTCTAACGTTAACCTGTTAAGCATAGTTAAGTAGATGGTCGTTGCGTTTGTTTAACACACACCTAGAACACTTTAATAGATTAAAGTTCACAACCTTGATCAATTTCCCTTGTACTGTAATCCTTAAGTATTTGTTCTGGTGAAGTGTGTTTGCATTGGTAGATTAAATGTGAACATTATAACATTTATGGTTCATAGTAACCCTATCCTCAGTCTTTAATAATTCCAGTCAGTCAGCTACAACGTAGGACCAGGCACATATATGCATCGGTCCAAGTTGCCATACCTCGTTAGCACAACATGATGAACACTGAATTCATAAAAGTAGTTAATTTAGTGGTGTTAATATATAAAAGGAAGGTTGTATATAAGGATATAGTATGGGAAGACAGATATGAAGCGATTTTCATCTCAAGGTTTAAGGGAAGATAACGAGTGTATACACCGACGCCATTGTGATCGATTCTGAGCCATGTCACCTAGAGTCCCCAACCATTGATTACGATAGTCTCGCGGACCCTATTTATATATTTATCTTTATACTTGTACAAATGAGTATGTTTGGTCGGTTGCATGTAACAGTTTGCTCATTTATTTATCTTACTTCCTTAAGTGTTAGTTTAAACCACTTGATTACTCAGTCGGATCTCCATACATATTTACTTGCTAGAATACATTCACTCGTTCGTCTGTCTAGTATGTTTGTTAGTTGTTTGATATGAATTGTGCTTAGATAAGCTGTTGCGACAACTTCGTTTCTTCCTCCTGGAAATTTTACACCCTCATGAATTATGGTTGGGGGATCTCGAAAATGTTCCGCAATAAATCTGTATATCTATCTTTCCACTATCCTATGGACTACAAAGTTTAAGGATTCTCATATGATAGAAGACACACATTATATCGTTAATTAAAGGATTTAAAATGGTTCTAAGAAAAAAGAATTTGTTTGCAATACTATTACTTATTAAACTTGTTCAGCCGTGTATAGACATATTTCACACTTCTTCTTCTGAATTTATTCATAGGAGAATACATGCACTGCTTGCGCAGGTACAATGATCCTTGAATTTGCTGCTTTAAGTCGATTGACTGGAAATCCAATTTATGAAGAAAAAGCAGCCAAAGCAATGGCATTCTTATGGAAACAACGTAATCGTTTCTCAGATCTTGTTGGTCGTGTAATCAATGTACGCAATGGAGATTGGATTCGTCAAGGTGAATACTATAAATACACTTACTTTTTTATGCCTAACAACTAAACAGTGGTAAACAAATCATTTACTGTGACTTACATGTTATTTTGGACAGTTCAGCAAACCAACTACTTTAATCTCTTACTTTCATAATGAACGCTAACAGCGTTTTTCAACGTTACTCAATTCATGACTTTATTTCAAATGTAATATCCACACTCATATTACAAGGTTGTGGATCTAAGTAGTTTAGACCTTATCTATTCCTTGATTGATATCATTTTGCGGTAAAAAATAACTTATTTTATTGCATCTCTTGGGGAGGTTTACAGTTTTGAAGATTCAGCTGTTTATTCTATAATGTATCTCTTCAAGTGGTCAAGTTTTGGTTCATTAGTTGGTCAATGTTTTTATTTATTTATTTAAACACATAAATATTGGTACAAAGGGTCACCAGATATATATGCGCCACACAAATCAAATGGGATTTGTATGAGGGCTGTGATACTGCCCAGGTGCCCACACTGAAGCAGGTGGTTTTCTTAGGGGGCCACACCCGGATCTTTTGACCTAAAGATCTGATCCACAAGGCAGTGGACCTACGTCAGGAGATGTAGTCCCATGGTAGCCGGTGACCAACGATTGATTCATACGCCATTGATTATTTGAAGATACTGGAGCATATGTACACCGTTGGTTTGAAATCAGGGTTTTCCAACACCCCTAGGTGGACTTTCCGTGTCCACGAACCCGGTTAGAGCGTCGGACATTCGGTTTTCGTCCTCTGAATTTCATAAACAACAGTAATGTAACGAGAATGCAATGAGTAGTACTTGTGTGGAAGAGGCTATATACTTGTGGCTGTGTGAGAGCATTTGGAGAGGGAGAGCGTACTCTCCCCACTCTCTGCCGTACCAGGGCATATGGGGGTCAAATTCTATCATTTTATTTAACCAAAGTTCATTTTACAGATAGGAAGTAAGGTAGAAATTTATGTCAAATTAGGCAGCGTTATGTTATACAGTTATTTTGCTGTAATTCAAGATATTTTAGTAGTTCAAACCAGTGACTTTATTTGAAGTCGAACCCTACACACATATCTCTTACAGAACACGATGTGGAACCACGGTTTCATACTTTTAAATCTTTTTTCTGATATGTACTAGTTCATATTAATACTCATTTACGGTGAAAATAATATGTAAAGTATACGATGTGATAAATTTCGCTAACTGTTCGACGCCTACCTAACTTGTTTCTATGTCATATTGTGGTGTGGTCTACTTATATCCGTATAAGTAGTATGTGTTGATGGTCAGATATAGAATGTATTTTGACAGAAGATCTATAAGGAACGAACAGGAATGAAGCGCAATCGGTACGAAAATGCATGAACAATCAAATCAAAGAAGACGGACTGATATTTGCAGAAGGAACAGTTAAGATTGAAACAATTAATTGTTATTTTTCAAATTAGCTGTTTGCTGTATGGTTATCCGAATTTAGTGTGATATTCTGTAATGATGTGCTTGAATACATTCGATTGTCCCCAGTCGTGTTCTTGTTCACTACTATATGAAATCAAAGTAATTTGTATCATCCTTGATTATTCAATCAGTCAAGCATAGATTGAATTCACACAATCTATTTGATTAATAATCGTATGAAAGGATGAAAGATATCGCTTCAGAGATTCTTACATTTTATGTTTAAATAAGTCAGTCAGTCAGTCAGCTACAACGTAGGACCAGGTACATATATGCATCGGTCCAAGTTGCCATACCTCGTTAGCACAACAAGATCAACACCGGATTTATAGTAGTTAATTTAGTGGTGGTACATAAAGAAAGATTGTATATAAGGATATAGTATAGGAAGAAAGACAGATATGAATCAATTTTAATCTCAAGGTTTAAGGGAAGATAAAGAGTATATACACCTGCGCCATTGTGATCGATTCTGAGCCATGTCACCTAGAGTCTCCAACCATTGGTTGCGGTGGTCATGCGGACCCCGACGTTTAAATAAGTAATACTGTACTGTACTTACATATAACTTTAAAATACCATGTTAATCCTTCCAACTATTATGTATTTATAGAATCTGGTGTTGGTGCAGGTATTGATTCATATTATGAATATTTATTAAAAGCCTATATATTACTTGGTGAACCAGTATATTTACATCGTTTTCAAACACATTATGAAGCAGTGAATCGATATGTTAGTGGTCCACAATCCGCAGAATTTCCTTTTCTATTTTTGGATGTACATATGCATCGACCAGCACAACGTGCACGTACATTTATGGATGCTTTATTAGCTTTTTGGCCTGGTATTCAAGTGAGTAAATATTTCTTAATTATATTTTTATTCAGTCAGTCAGTCACAACGTAGAACTTCGTATGTACATGCATCAGTTCGAGTTGCCATACCACATTACCACAGAGATACAGTTGTCGATTCAAATCCCATAGTGATATAAGTAGTAAGAATATAAGCAGTATGTGAAAGATTAGGGCTTGAAGATGTTATTCAAGGAGTATAATCCAATGAAATAAATTTAAAGAGAGAAAGAAGATAGAGACATGAAGAATTCATTAGATTAGAATTTGGGAGAACACAAAGAATGGATGCACCTTCTCCATTGTAAACGATTTTGAGCCATGTCATTCAAGGTTTCTAACCATCGATTAGTATCATCTCGCGAATCCCAACCAGGTAGTCTACACCTACCAACATGGCTCAGTTTGATTGTCAGTGGCTATAGTCTAATATCGGATATTTTGTACAGAACACTTTATTATATTGCAACTTTTAGCAACAATTAAGTAATAAGATGAGGTAACTTCTGTTTAATGATTGCATCTAAATGCTCAATTATGTTCAACTAGTCTGTCATCCTGGAGACATAAAATTCAGTCAAACCAAAGGTCAATGTTTCCACTAACTGATTACTGTATCAAATTCAGAGAGACCGAAGGTTCTGAGTTCGAGTCCCGCACGCAAGATCGTGGATTCACATTATTGAGGAGTCCCATACTAGGACAAAACGGTAGTCCAGTGCTCCAAGATTTTCAATAAGGTTCTAGCTTAAATCGACTCGTGAATTGAACTATTAAAATTACTACAATCTCCACAAACCCGCATTCTAAAAATTAATTATATATTTACTCTTATGTATGTGACTGTTTGCATGTTTGTTATTTGTTTCTATCCATTCTCTTATTGGTTGTAAACACAATCAATGAATAATTTCTAACTCAAGCACATATTACACATTCTCTTTCTATATCATCTGATCTGATTGAAATGACTAACTTACCTCCTGTTAAAAATCGATTTCAGCCCAATTTGTATTTGACTCTTGAAAACTCTCGAATGAAAATAAATTTGATTTTTATAGTCAGTCAGTCAGTCAGTCATAACGTAGAACTTCGTACATACGTACATCAGTTTGAGTTGCCATGTCACATTAACACAGAGATGCAGTTGTCGATTCAAATTTCATAGTGGTAGAAATAGTAAAAGTATAAGCAGTAATGTGAAAGATTAGGGTTCGAAGATGTTATTCAAGGAGTATAATACAGTGAAATAAATTTGAAAAGAGAAAAAGGATAGGGACTTGAAGAATTCATTAGATTAGAATTTGGGAGAACACAAAGAATGGATGCACTTTCGCCATTGTCAACGATTTTGAGCCATATCATTCAAGGTCTCTAACCATTCATTACTATCATCTTGCGAATCCCAACCAGGTAGTCTACACCTACCAACATGGCTCAGTCCATTTGTCAGTGACTTTATGGATTTGTGCCATGTTTTGGTCTGGCCGCCCCTACCTTTCTTCCCACCTACTCCTACACCATAAAACATCGCTCGTCGGGGCAGTCAGTGGTTGTGCATACGTAACACGTGCCCCAGTCATCTCAACTGATCAAGTTTCACTATTTCGTCAATCGATTTGCCATCCTTACCTAGTACCCGTTTCCTAACGACTGCATTACTTACCCGGTGGTCCCAGGATATACGAGCAATGCTTCAAAGACACCTATGATCAAATAATAGTAGCCTACGAATATCCTCTACTCTTATCGGCCATGTTTCACTGCCATAAACTACATGTAGTTGATTTTAGATTTTCTTTTTTCCAAATTAAACATTCTAATCTTATTCAATGAATATATTCATTCATTGTATTATTCAATTATTTTCCATCTAATTCAGGTTCTTACAGGTGATGTAAAACGTGCAGTTGTATTACATGAATTATTATATTTAATACATAAACGTAATAAATTATTACCTGAAGCATTTACACCAGATTTTAATGTACATTGGGGTCAACATTTACTTAGACCTGAATTAATTGAATCTACTTATTTATTATATCGTGCTACGGAAGATCCATATTATTTAAAAGTTGGTGAACAAATTGTTAATGATTTAGAAAAGTATACACGTGTACCATGTGGGTTTGCAGCAATTAAGGTTTGTGTAACAATAAATAACCTTTGATCCCTTCATTTTTTTCTCATTTTTTAAATCCAAATTATTTATTTATTTAAACACATAAATATTGGTACAAGGAAGCACCAGATATATATGCGCCGCACAAATCTCATTTGATTTGTGTGAGGGCTATGATACTGCACAGGTGCACAAACGGAAGCAGGTGGTTTTCTTACGGAGCCACACCCGGAGCCTTTGACCTAAAGGTCTGATCCACAAGGTAGTGAAACATCGTGAGGAGATGCAGTCTCAAGGTAGCCGGTGATCAACGATTGATTCATACGCCATTGGTTATTTGAAGATACTGGAGCCCATGTACACCATTGATTTGTAATCAGGGTTTTCCAACTCCTCTATGTGTGCTCTCCATGTCCACCAACACGGTTAAAGCGCTGGACATTCGGATTTCGTAAACAACAGTAATGTAACGAGAAGGCAGTGAGTAGGAATTGTGTGGCAGAGGCTATATACTCGTGGGCATGTGATACCGTCTGGAGAGGGAGAGCGTACACTCCACACTCTCGGCCGTACCAGGGCATTTGGGGGCAAATGGAATGTCGCTGCCAGGATATGTTTTTTGAGAGACTGATTCAAATAGTGTGATTAACTTCTGTTCAAGCAATCAGAGCCCATCGATATTTATAAGTGCTAAACTTATTCTATCAACCGACTTTGTATGTACAAAATCTAGTTGTTTACTACCTACTTAACTACCTTGGTCTTAGTCTCTGTATACTAGCTTAAGAATTATAGATAATAGAACAAGACCGTTCTGACCGATGCGTTGCAGATCCAACCTTTTACAGTTTTACTGATATGACGAAGGTGCTAAATATGGCTCAAATTAGCGTAAGCTGCCCTGCCTTTTACTATACGTGAATTGATCTCATCTTTCACACCACCATCACCACATAAATAGCTACCCAGATGAACGAACTTTTTGATTACTGCGAACAGCTGACTACCAAGAGTGAGTGCAGGCATGGGGTCCTGCCAGTGTTGTAATAGTACGTTGCACATAGAAGGTGTAATATCGAGGCAATATGCACAGTATTCATATATGGCCAATAAGAGACTGACCAGTTGCAGTCCTAAACATCAATGGGAAGATTCAATCAAACATTACTAAATGAATTTAAACTTCACCCCATTGTACAAGCATGTGGCTATCAGAACTTGGTAGGTGAGTGGATAATGCAATGGCGTTTGGAGCGAAAGTTACTGGGTTCGAGTCCCAGAATGAACATCAACTCTGAGATACAGGTAAATCCAGCTGACGAGTCCCAGATAGGAAGAAACGCGCGTCCTGGATTCTTCTGATTGCCAACTGATCAAGTGTGGATTACATAGCTTGATTATCATCGCACATTAAGACGATATCATCCAAAGACCCAAGGTTGGGAAGTCTTTCTACACGCAACAGATCCACACAACCACTCCCTACATCCATAAGAGCTGTTTCTGGAACGTTATCGATGGCCAAGTTGGGAAGGAATGGTGAGATTGGGCAACCCTGCTTAACCTTACCGCTTGAATGAAACCCAGTGAAGTTGCTAGGAAATGTGTTGCGTTTACCAACTCGTCGCTCAGATCGACAAATAACTATGGCTGAAATAGGAGTAATTTAGAAGAAAATTATCTAGAAGCTTCTTATGTATATACTATAAATATATGAACGTTATTTAAACTAGGGATTGCTGTTCACTTATCATTATTATTTTGAATACAATTTCATTCCTGTTCAACGTGTTCTGATTTTGGGGTCTTGTCGAGTGTCATTGTATAAGAATGTTAAGCAATAGGAATAGCTGGATCGTTTATATAGCAAAAACACAATTATAACAGACGACATTCGTAGAACATATCCAAGCCACCGAAGTCGGTGTTCCAACATAGTAACACTAATTGAATTATCGTCACTGTGCCCGAACACACGATACCGAATCTCTGCATTACTAACATAGTGTTTCCACTGGATGTCAGCAATCCTTCGGAAACAACGATGATCGAACGCAGAGAGACGTCTAACATCCTCAACTCAGAGAGTCCAGGTTTCACAAGCATAGAGCAAAACTGCTCTCACCGATGCGTTGTATGTGATAACCGCTTGCAGTAGTTTGGGACCTTGAGTGACATTACTCATTAAACTATTTCAACTCCTTTATTTTTCATCCGATTATACTGATTCGATGTGACAATTTATGCTAACAGACTAATCAACTGACACCGTATTTTATTTGGTTCAGCAATCGATTCACGTAGAGTGTACTTCATTAGTTAGTGAAGTTTGTTCTCATCTCATAAACTTCTTGACAGGTATCATCCAGCTTTAGAAGTAGAAATCATGAAATTAATGAGCCTAAAATAACTTGACAATGCATACAGTGGGTAGCGTTACTTGGTAAAATCACACTATATTGCCAATCGGTGCATTTTTAATTAAGGGGGGGGGTAGGTTTATACTAATGCTTTTTGATAACAATCGCGTGTATATATTCCTACGACCTTGGTCTTTTATAGTGTTAGTGTTTTTTATTTTTATTTAAACACATAAATATTGATACAAAGGGTCACCAGATATGTAAGCGCCGCACAAATCTCATTCGATTTGTGTGAGGACTGTGATACTGCCCACGTGCCCAAATTGAAACAAGTGGTTTCCTTAAGGGACCACACCCAGAGCCTTTGACCTAAAGATCTGATCCACAAGGTAGTGGAGCATCGTGAGGAGTGCAGTCTCAAGGTAGCCGGTGACCAACGATTGATTTATACGCCATTTGTTCCCTCAGGATACTGATGTCAGCCCATGTACACCATTGGTTTGGAATCAGGGTTTTCCAACTCCCCTAGGTGGACTTTCTGTGCCCACTAACCCGGTTATCGCTCCTGCCGGACATTCGGTTTTCGTCCTCTGAATTTCGTAAACAACAGTAATGCCTTGAGAAGTCAGTGAGTGTCCATGTGAGAGCATTTGGAGAGGGAGAGCGTACTCTCCACACTCTCGGCCGTACCAGGGCATTTGGGGGCTGTGTTAATGTACATGGATGCTAGTCAATAATTTGTAGTGTATTGTATGTATTTTCAATGTACACTAATTTTTCACATTTTTGATCCTTTTTATGAAATTGCATTTAGTATTGTTTGTTTGAATCTTCCCATCGATGTGTTAGGACTGCAACTGGTCAGTCTCTAATTAGCATATGTGCATACTCTGCGTATTGCCTCGATATAGCCTTAATTCACAAGCATTGTAATCAAAGATGGATAATGGCCGAGTAGATAACGCGATGGCGTTTGAAGCGAACGGTTCTGGGTTTGAGTCGCAGAGTGAACATGAACTCTAAGATGCAGGTACATACAACTGATGAGTCCCAAGTAGGACGAAACGCGTCTTGTCCTGGATTCCACTGCTATCCACTATCCATCTTTCCTTACAATGCTTTTTTTTCAATATCAACCTGGACATTTACATTTCACTATTCACCTTCATTGTTATCACCATCATGATTTTTGTTGCTAATGATATCTCTTAACTTTCTTACATCAGGATGTACGTACTATGGAACATGTAGATCAATTCGATTCGTTTGTTCTTGCTGAAACATTTAAATACTTGTACTTATTATTTGCTGAACCATCTGATATTCCAATCAATGTAGATGATTATATATTTACTACAGAAGCACATCTTTTACCATTAAGTTTATCTCGTCAACGTTATTCCATTCAGAATGTATTCCATACTAGGATTCCTAATGTTTCTTCGGTATTCATAAAGACATCACAATATAATGTTAATAGTTCAATCCTACCACAATCATCATCAACTTCAAACGTTGAATCATCTTTTGTCAGATCAATATCAGATCATCATGGTGATCGAGATCTTAAAATTGAAAAATTATTACATAATGCAGCTCAATGTATTGCTGTAGGATATGAGCATCGAAATCCTATAAAATGTAATTTAGATACTTCTATGACAAAGAATGATCCTACTACTACTACTGGTAATGTAGATAATGATTATCTTGTTAGTAACCATATGGGTTCAACATGTGATATATCAGAAGCGCCTGGTTACTATTATGGTCATTATCTAAGAAAATTACCAAAATGTAATGATTCTGATAGAATTTTATCAAAATCATATATATGGAATATGATTGATACTATTCGACAACCAGTACGTCAAATAGCTATTAATCTTGATCGATCAATAAATGATTTCACTGTCGGTGTTCCTCCTCATCATCATAAATATACAAAAACATCATCATCACCATTACCATTAAGAGCAATTGATTTTCAACCTGATAATGCATTACATTTGAATATATTGAAAAGTATGGGTATATCAATGTCATTTAATCAAGATGGTAGATTAACTTTAACACATCATCATAATGCTGTAAGTTAATATTTATCTATTTGAAGAGGTTTTGTGGAGATTTCAGTATTTTTCAAAGTTGAAATCATGAGTCAATCGAACTAGACCACCGTAGAAAACCTGAAAGCACTGGACGGCCGTTTCGTCCTGTTATGGGACTCCTCAGCAGTGCCCATCCACGATCCCGCACTCGCGAGATTCGAACCCAGGACCTACCAGTCTCGCGCCGGAGCCCTTATCCGATAGACCACCGTGCCGGCATCCAACGGTGTTAATGTCTAACTTCAACCAATCCACGATTTTGAGCAACCATTCACCAATTGTCTTCAATGAGTTGTTATCTCACAACAAACGTGGTTGAACCCCACTGGGCTCTGGCTAGAGACCGGCAGGTCCTGGGTTCGATTCTCGCGAGTGCGGGTTCGTGGCTGCCCATTGCTGAGGAGTCCCGTAATAGGACGAAACGGCCGTCCAGTGCTTCCAGGTTTTCCATGGTGGTCTAGCTTCAATTGACTCATGATTTCAACTTTAAAAAATTTATCTATTTAGCGTTCCTATTTCGTTGAAATATATTTCTATGTGAATTGTGATTAAGTGGTTTTGTTTGATAGAGCTAGCCATTACTTCCTTAGGGTTACTGTGCTCATATTGTTATCGGTCATTGTTGAACAGGCTCGGTAAAAGACTGTCGCTCATTCTGGAGCATATGTTTAGACTCAGATCATGTTGTTGATCGAGTACATATTTGTGTACACCTTACTGGACATAGAAAAGCTACAGAAAGAAAACCCCTTAGAGTCCAACTTAATGATAAGTAAAGAATATATTTTAGGAACAACTAGAGGAGTTAGTCAAACATGGAAGTGGTATCTATCCCAAAGTAATTGCTTACTTACGCCTGTTACTCCCAATGGAGCATAGGCCGTCGACCAGCATTCTCCAACCCACCCTGTCCTGGGCCTTCCTTTCTAGTTCTAATCAGTTTTTGTTCATTCTTCTCATGTCTGTCTCCATTTCTCAACGTAATCTGTTCTTCGGTCTTCCTCTTCGCCTTTGGCCTTCAGGATTCCATGTGAGGGCTTGTCTTGTGACGCGATTGGGTGATTTCCTCAAAGTGTGTCCAATTCACTCCCAGCTCTTCTTACTGATGTCTTCCTCCGCTGGAATCTGGTTTGTTCTCTCCTACAGTACCTTGTTGCTGATAGTGTCTGGCCATCGGAGCCGAAGTATTTTGCGTAGACAGCTGTTAATAAACACTTGTATCTTCTGGATGGTGGCTTTCGTAGTTCTCCACGTCTCCGCCCCATACAGTAGAACTGTCTTGATATTTGTATTGAAAATTCTGATGTTGGTGTTGGTTGTCAATTTTTTGAGTTCCAGATGTTTTTCAACTGTAAATATGCTGCTTTTGCTTTGCCGATCCGCGTCTTCACATCTGCATCTGATCCACCGTGTTCATCAATGATGCTGCCCAGATATGTAAAGGTTTCTACATCCTTCAAAGCTTCTCCGTCAAGTGTAACTCAATTAGTGCATGTTGTATTGTATCGGAGAGTCTTGCTTTTCCGTTTGTTTATATTGAGACCTGCTGCTGAGGCTGCTGCTACACTGGTTGTTTTCTCCTGCAGTAGTTGTTGGATTTGTGATAGAAGAGCCATAGAGGATATCTCAAAGTAACTTGGCATGATGTCCAAAAAGCTGTGGAAACCACGCTGATATATACTAGCAACTTATACTAAAAGGTTTGGAAACATCAGTGGATTTCAGCAGTGTTTGCTGAACTGTTAGATGCTCAGAAACTCATCCCGTCTCTGTCCGAATATGATGAGGAGCGCAGGCAGCTTAAACATAGGCTGAACAAAAGCCTACTTAATGATCGTGAGCAATAGCGAGAACAGAAGAGATGGAAAAGATGGCAGCGATAGATAACAGTAAACAACAGTCCAAACTTATTAAGGAAAAGAGTATTTAAAAATTCGGCTGTTAGTGAATCTATCTCGGAAAAAGACGAGAATATTATTCACTCTCAATCGAGGAGATTGAACCGATGGGTAGAATGCTTTAAGGAACAGTTCAATTGGGCCTCAGCCATATTGCACTTATCCACTGAACGTGAATGGCACATTGGTTCAAGCCCTTCAACTCTTATTAAGGTTGAAAAGGATATAAGCAATCTAAAGCAAGAAAATGTAACAGGGATTGATGGATCGACTTCTGCGATTTTTATAGGTAGTGGTCTTGTTTTAGCGGTTAGATTAATTGTGGTCTTAGCTGAAATCCGGGAACTGGACGTAATCCCATCTGACTGGTCTCGATCACTGATCGTCTCAGTTTATAATAAAGAACAAAAATCTATTTGCAACAGTCACAGAGGAATCAGTTCAACTAATATAATGTGTAGAATATTGGCTTCAGTAATACTTCGACGTCTAACTGAAACTCGTAAAGAGCAAACCCAAGAAAACCAGACTGGTTTCAAACCTGGACATAAATGTATAGATCAAATGATCACGCTTCTACAGGTTTTGAAACACTGACGTGTACTGTTTGATATCCAACTATGTTTGTATTCCTTGACGTTATGGCGGAGTTCGACTCTTGATCGTGAGGTTATTTGGCATTTTCTGTTATTGAAAGGTGCATAGAAAAATTACATTAAACTCCTATAAGCTCTCCACTTAAACATTACTTGTAGAGTTAAAGCGTATGACAAAACCGCCACCAGAATTGGTTGCTTCAAGTTGTGTTTGTCAAGGTTGTCCGCTTTCTCCACCTTTATTTAACTTTGTCATAGACATGCTTTTACAGATAACACTTTCATCGTTTGACTTTTCAGGGTTTGATATGTCAAGAGATTCACTTGTTAACTTAAAATACACAGACGATACAGTTCTGTTTGATGAAAGTCCGATTTACCATCAGTCGAATATTAACATGGTGATGACTTACGTCTATGTATCACGGTAGATTAAAAGTCACTAATAACTTACAGTTCAAACACTTGTTCAGAGTTGTTTATTCTAATACATCAGAGGGGGTTTTGTGGAGAATTTAGTATTTTCACTGTTGAAATCATGAGTCAATTGAAGCTAGACCACCATCGACAACCTGGAAGCATTAGACGGCCGTTTCGTCCTGTTATGGGACTCCTCAGCAGTGCCCATCCACGATCCCGCACTCGCGAGATTCGAACCCAGGACCTACCAGTCTCGAGTCAGAGCCCTTAACCGATAGACCACTGTGCCGGCATCCAACGGTGTTAATGTCTAATTTCAACCAACCCACGATTTTGAGCAACCATTCACCAATTGTCTTCAATGAGTTGATATCTCTACAACAGACTTGGTATGTTCACTAGTGACTGACTTCAAGAGATATTTCCTTGAGTTCTAGTGGGAAGCAGTGGCCAATGGAATTCAAAACCACGTCTGTTGTGAGATAGGAACTTACTGAAGACAATTGGTGAATGGTTGCTCAACTTCGTGGATCAGTTGAAGTTAGACATTAACACCGTTGGATGCCGGCACAGTGGTCTATCGGTTAAGGGCTCTGACTCGATACTGGTAGGTCCTGGGTTCGAATCTCGCGAGTGCGGGATCGTGGATGGGCACTGCTGAGGAGTCCCATAATAGGACGAAACGGCCGTCCAGTGCTTTCAGGTTTTCCTTGGTGGTCTAGCTTCAATTGACTTGTTCTTATACAGTCAGTATAGGAGAATGTATCGTTAGTTTTCTCTCATACTATGAAACTTTATCCTCTATTGTGACATCTTATTACCTCACATAGTAATGTTTATAATGTGTATGTTATTATTATTATTATTGTTTTGAAATAGGCTGATAGTATTGACTCAGCGACTGCAGGAGTTATTTTCATACAGGAATTGATCAATTTAGCAAATCAGAAACAAAGTTTAGTTGGTAAGTTGTTAATTTTAACCAAATTATCATCTTTCAACTTGTAAATGGATGTTTTAATGATAGTGATATGCTCACTGAAATAGTTCTAGTCTTCTTTTTCATTATATTTTTGTTCATAACTATATTGCCTCCTGACTGTTGCTGCTACTTTGATGTGATGGTCGGGCTTGTCTATCGTAATGAACCAATAGAGCTATACTGGCTGGAACAATCGTTCCTCATGGTCTTACCATACCAAACAGGTCGGTTGAAGAGCGGTAAGACTAAAAGCAACGAACTCCAAGGTCTGAGGGAGAAGTAGTACTTCTGAATGTACAGAGGTGTGGCGTCAGTAAGGTGTTTCCTTCAGACACCCAGCATAACTTTGATGCTGCTTTCCCACCAAGGAAGTGTGAGGTTAGAAAAAGTCGACTAAGATATGAATGACACTATGTATGTAAACCGTGACAGTTCAATAATGATAATTTTTCTCATTCGTACTTAAAATTACTTTTCAAAACGTAGTGTGTTCATCGTCAATTTCTAACTGTTATCCTTTTTAGATCTTCCTGTACAGAATCGTTATGTCGTTGTAATTGATCCGCCAAGTTATGGTTTTATTAAATTTTCTGCCTGCCCTGCACATTTTGGTTTATTCCCTGGAGAAGAATCAATACAAGGAAAAGAGGAACAACAACAGAAGGAAGCAGGGACTAAGGATTCGAACACGTTTGAAAATCAAGCAAAGCAACAACAATCATCATTTTCATCGTCATCTTCTGCAAATCCCAAAGAGCGTCGTTGGAAACCTTTAGTTGGTCCTGTACGTGTTGTTTATCCAATGGATGCATGTCAACCTATTATGCAAGAAGCTTATGCTTATCCATCTGTTGATCTTCAATGGAATCAGAATTCTACAGAATCATTAAATTCCTCAATCTTTAATAGCTCAAAAATTATGCAGCAAAGTAAAGGATCTATTTCAGGTGCTATTGGTATTGTACGTCGAGGTGGCTGTGTTTTTGTTGAGAAAGCTTATCATTTAGCTCAAGTGAGTTACCAATCTATATTTGATCATATAATGCTTTTGAAAACTAACTGTTGCGATGCCTACATACCTCAGTATTTTGGAAACTAGAAATTCAAACCATATTCATCTAATTCAGATCTCCGCTCCAACCTTTTTTCGGTTCAAGTCAATGGCTAGTACATATTTATATCAATACTTGATTATTGATCATTCAGATATACCATAATAAAACAAAAGTTTTGTGGTAACCACAATGGAGTCAATCCAACATATTGCTTAAGATATTGACTGGAAAACATTTTTTTATTTATACACATAAATATTGGTACAAGGAAGAACCAGATACATATGAGCCGCACAAATCAAATGAAATTTGTGTGAGGGCTGTGATACTGCTGAGGTGCCCAAACTGAAGCAGGTGGTTTTCTTAGGGGGCCACACCCGGAGCCTTTGACCTAAAGGTCTGATCCACAAGGCAGTGGAGCATCGTGAGGAGATACAGTCCCATGATAGCCGGTGACCAACAATTGGTTCATACGACATTCGTTCCTTCAGGATACTGGAGCTCATGTACACCATTGATTTGAAATCAGGGTTTTCCAACTCCCCTAGGTGGACTTTCCGTGTCCACCAACCCGGTTAAAGCACCGGACATTTGGATTTCGTCCTCTGAATTTCGTAAACAGCAGTAATGGTATGCGAAGGCAGTGAGTAGGACTTGTGTGGCAGAGGCTATATTACGCGTGTCCATGTAAGAGCATTTGGAGAGGGAGAGCGTACTCTCCCCACTCTCGGCCATACCAGGGCATTTGGGGGCTGACTCGAAAACAGTGATCTTAAGAAAGCTAGACAAGGTTTAGAACAATCATACACGTATGTATCGTTTCAAAAGCTTACTCGCATATGGTGAGTTATATTAAGGTTAAACAAATGGCGCTAGGTAGGAGGGACAAATCATTTGATAAAATAGGGTATATGGACCAATAACTGCTTTTGAAACACTTTATAGCTTTCTCACCATCTAGTATTCTAATATAGAGTGCTAAGAGTATGAACCCTAGAGTTTACCAATTAAGAACGTGTCACGGATCCTCAAATTCTTTACTAATAATCGTTTGGTAATCGTACCGTTTATATATCATCCCCTGAGTAGTTGTATTCTTTTTTTTTTACCTTACTCTAAGTTTTGACCGTCACATCATTCCATCGTTTACATCATCATCTAGGGGCATAATTAATAGTCAGATTAAAAGTTTAGAATTAAATTCTAGTTCATGGAAACATACTCATCATATAATAATCAGCCAGCATTCATGACCTATACAAAGTAGTCAACAACATATATAGATATATTCTGATTATAATCATATGCTCACTAGTGACTGACTTCAAGATACATGTCCTGGAGTTCTAGTGAGAAGCAGTGACTAGTGGAGTTCAACCACGTCTATTGTGAGATATCAACTCACTGAAGACAATTGGTGAACGGTTGCTCAAACTTCGTGAATTGGTTGAAGTTAAGCATTAACACCGTTAGATGCCGGCCAACTCAGTGGTCTATCGGTTAAGTGCTCTGGCGCGAGACTGGTAAGTCCTGGGTTGAAATCTCGTAAGGCGGGATCGTGGATGGGCACTGCTGAGGAGTCCCATAATAGTACGAAACAGACGTCGAGTGCCTCCAGGTTTTCCATGGTGGTCTAGCTTCAATCGATTCATAATCTCAACCATGAAAATTCTTACTGTTCAGTTCATGTTATCGTAAAGATATTATGTATGAATATGAACATATTACTGTATACAGATTGTTAGTAGCCTAACAACAGTGCAATAAAGTTTCAAGTTATTCCTTACTAGTTAAAACGAAGGTGTCTATAGATCAGTAAATCATATTCTTGCTATATATACATAACTGCAAGTATAAAAATTGATTTTGTCATTCACGATGTTGCACAGCCAGCAGCATTCATAAATGCTCAGGTGAAGGTAATCGAACTTCCCGGATAACGAATTAGGCAGTCATAACAACAAATCCACCAGCTAACTCGAATGCTGTTGACTGTGCAAATGATCCGGTGAACTTAATAGGACTTCCGGGATAACTAACCAAGCATTCATAACAACAAATCCACCAGCTTACTCGAATGCTGCTGGCCGTCCAATGTCATGAAACGTCTTTTATAAAAATAGATCAATGGATTATATGATGAATGTTTATGACTTGAATGACAAAATCAATTTTTATACTTACAGTTATGTATATATAGCAAAAATGTGATTTATTGATCTATAGATGTTGTGCCCCGATGAGGATAATGAATGATAACGTTTGGGATCTATTTATGAATCAATACTATGCATATATTTTTTTATCGTATAATTGCTGAACAACCAAACTATTCATATTCATGTTCCCCTTATCATGAGCTTTATTTTGACTTATGAATTATTGTCATACGATTTACCATCCTTGATCTATCCCTAGTCTATTAATTGCTGCCTCCCACATTCACATCCACATTTGCCTAAATCTTGTACAAATGTGTATTTTCTATTTTATTGGTACGATGTAATCTGTTTAATTGGTATATAAACTCAGTATGTTTGAAATATAATGATTCATATTGCAAAGGCTGTTCTGAACTTAACTAACTGGGCTAGGCAGTAAGCAGGACGTATAAGTACTCTAGACTGCTTGCACGAGTTTTATGCATCACTTGTCTGATCGATAAACCGCTGCTCTCCAATAGGTTGTATTATCAAATCATACATTAACAGGTCATCCAATCGTCTACAAGTTATAACAATAGAAACACTTTCAGTTTTAACTAGTAACGAATAACTTGAAGCTTTACTACACTGTTACTTGTCTCTTAATAATCTATCGAAGTTTTGACACTAAATTAATGCCTTAATTTTGAGATAGATTTGATAATTGATTATACTGTTTGTAGGTTTATGTTGGTATTGTAGATTCATTGGTAAGGTGAATAATTTTATTCCTCATCGACCTGCGTAAAATGAAGCTGGTAACAATATTTATTTTTTGTGTATGGATTGTTATTGTTTGTAGTTTGGTGTGTTTTAAATTTCATATTTTTTTTTAATGGGTTTATCTTCCATGAGTAGTATTGAACGTTTATAACACAAGCTGTTCTAACTTGATAGCTGTATATTGGAGCAATGAACTGTTGGCCCCCAAATGCCTTGGTACGGCTGAGAGTGGAGAAAGTCCGCTCTCCCTTTCCAAATGCTCTTACATGGTTACGTGTATATAGCCTCTGCCAGTGAATTCCTACTCACTGCCTTCTCGTGGCATTACTGTTGTTTACGAAATTCAGAGGACTTAAAGAGAATGTTCAACGCTTTAACCGGGTTGGTGGACATGGTGAGTCCACCTAGGGAAGTTGGAAAACCCTGATTTCAAATCAATGGTGTACATGGGCCCCAGTATCCTGAGGGAATAAATGGCGTATTAATCAATCGTTGGTCACCGGCTGCCATAAGACTGCATTTCCTCACGATGCTTCACTGCCTTGTGGATCAGATCTTTAGGTCAAAAGATCCGGGTGTGGCCCCCTAAAAAAACCACCTGCTTCAGTGTGGGTACCTGGGTAGTATCACAGCCTTCACACAAACGAAATGAGATTTGTGTGGTGCATATATATTTGGTGCTCATTCGTGCCAATATTTATGTGTTTAAATAAATACGATGAACTGTTGATAAATGGGATCATCTTCTTCCAGTCTACTCAAATGCATCCAACATGATCTGCACTTTTTTAGTTTCTCCATTTTGTTTGTGTTCGTAGGAGTTCGTTAACGGGTGACCCTGCACGTAATTTTTGGTTTAGTTGATACACATTAGCAGAGTGTACCTATCGTATTGAAGTAACTAATGTTTACTGATGGATTCGAACTTGTATTTCTTTACTTCACGATCTTATTATTTCACCACTAACTTATTCGAGCAACCAATAACCGCATATCTTCAGTCTTCAGTAATAATGATAGAAGGTCTATTGACCTATTTTAATCCTTGCATTTTGTTACACTGTGGAGGTCCAAACTCGTTTTGAATATATCAACAGAAGATGCTGATATTATGTGTTCCGGTAGAGGATTCCAGTAATTCACTACTCGGTGCGAGAAACGAAACTCTAGGCGTAGACAATTTGATCTCGGTTTTTGGACTTTTTTCAAATGTTTTCTCAAATGATCAGTCCCAGATGGAAGAAAAACATGGGACCTTTGTGTTCTAGTTGTCATTATATCCTTTTTTATATGGTTGGGTTGTGGTTTGTAAAATCTGCCTAAAGCAATGTTATTTTTACATTGAAATAATGTTTATCTGGGAGTGATCACATGATCATAGCTCAGAGAGCCGAGAAACGTAAATAGCTTTTGTCATGGAAGTCATAATCACTAACTTCTCGTGACGGGGGTGTTGTTTACGTAATCGAGAGGACGAAAACCGAATGTCCGGCGCTTTAACCGGTTGGTGGATACGTAGAATCCACCTGAGAGAGTTGGAAAGCCCTCATTACAAACCAATGGTGCACATGGGCTCCAGTATCCTGAGGGGACAAAAAGCGCATGAGTCAATTTTCGGTCACCAGCTACGATGAGACTGCATCTCCTTACGTTGCTCCACTACCTTGTGGATCAGATCTTTAGGTTAAATGCTCGGGGCTCGGCCCCGTAAGTAAACCATCTGTTTCGATTTTGGCAACTTGGAATTATCCCAAGCCTCACACAGGTCGAATGATTTATGTAGCGCATACGTATTTGGTACCTTCATATACCAATATTTATGTGTTTAAATAAATAAATCTTAAATATCTGGGTGTCTTCTATGAATTGTTGTTGTTGTTATTGTTGTTTTAATAGGCTGGTGCTATTGGTGTTATTATAGTTGATAATAAACCGGATACATCAAGTGAAATTGGTCCATTATTTGCATTATCTGGTGATGATGATGAACTTAACAAAAAAATTCATATCCCTATTGTTTTATTACTGAGTGTTGAACGTGATCAACTTTTAAATTTAATGCGATCCCATTGGAATCAAACAAATCAACCATTGAATATAATGTTAACTAAAGAATATGATGTTGCAGGTTAGTTACTTGGTATTTAATCAATGATTATTATGATTGTTGATGCTCACTCTGGGAGGAACTCGAACCCAGTACCTTTCGCTTCAAACGCCATCGCGTTATCCACTCGGCCACTGAGTCCTGATAGGCACTTGCTTGTGCAATGGGGTGAAGTTGAAATTTACTTAGTATCGTTTGTTTGAATCTTCCCATTGATGTTAACCACTATCCATCTTTGCTTACCATGCTTGTGAATTAAGGCTATATCGAGGCAATACGCACAGTATGCACATATGTCAATAAGAGACCGACCAATTGCAGTCCTAAAAACATCAACGGGAAGATCCAAACATACGATACTAAGTAAATTTCAACTTTTAATTGGATTTGTTATTATCAGATAAAATAGCTGACGAATTATCAACCATGTCTGTTTATGAATGGATTATTGTCACGTTATATTCATTACCCAGCTCTCAAATGGCCACGCGTATATAATCTCTGCTACACAAGTCCTACTCACTACCTTCTCGTGACACTACTGTTGTTTACGAAATTGAGAGAACGAAAACCGAATGTCTGGCGCTTTAACCGGGTTGGTGGACACTAAGGGTCTATCTAAGGGAGTTGGGAAACCCTGATTCTGAACTAAGGGTGCACGTGGGCTCCAGGATCATGAGGAGACAAACGGCGTATAAACCTATTGTTGGTGGCCGGCTATCATGGGACTGCATCTCGTGAGGTTGCTCCACTGTCTTTTGAGTCAAAGGCTTGGGGTGTGTCCCTTTAATAAAACCACCTGTTTCGGTTTGGGCAACCGGATAGTATATATTTGGTGCCTCCTTGTACCAATGTGGTCATATGGATATATCAGATAGAATTAAATCAATTAGAATGATTTATCGAATAATTCGTCCTTTAATAGTGTTGATTTAAAGTTGTATTACTATTTAGTACTTTTGGTTCCTTAAATTATTTAATATTTTCAATAGTTGGGATCATGAATCAATTGAAGTTAGACCATCATCGAAAGCCTAAAAGCACTGAACGGCCGTTTTGTCCTATTGTGGGACTCCTCAACATTACGCATCGACGATCCCGCCTTGCGAATTCAACTATAAAATTACTAAAATCTCCACAAAAACCGCTTCTGATAATAATCATATCCTCACTAGTGACTGGCTTGAAGAGATATTTTCTGGATTTCTGGTGAGAGGCAGTGATCAGTGGATTTTAACCAGGTCTGTTGTGAGATATCAACTCACTGAAGATGATGTGAATGTGTCGTCCAATTTCGTAGATCGGTTAAATGAATGATATAACTTACAATCAGATAGTTTTCCTTAAATAGTTTATAGCTTTTTGTTATATCTTGTGGGTTTGTAACCCTATTGATATGTCATGTGACGATGCTGCCAATTGGAGAGCAGTGATTTTTCGACCAGACGAGTGAAACACAAAACTCATGCGAACAATCTAGAGTACTTATCGGTTCTGCTTATTGCCTAGCTCAACCAGTTAAGTCCAGAAAACTGATAACAGCCGTGGCGATATGAATCACTTATTTCAAATATATTGGGTTTATATATACTAACCGGACAAACTACATCACACCATGAAATAAGAAATAACATTTGTACAAGATTTAGCCAAAGGTGGCTGTGAATGTGGGAGACAGTAATTGATTGACTAGACATAATTCAAGAATAGTAAGTAATATAATAATAGTTCATAAATCACAATAAAGCTTATAATAAGACGAACATGGCCAATAAGAGTAGAGGATATTCGTAGGCTACTAGTATTCGATCATAGGTGTCTTCGAATCATCGCTTGTATATCCTAGAACCACTGAGTAAGTAAACTTCCACGGTGTGGGCAGCCGGGAAGTGATATTAGCCCTCAAACCCGTAACTGCACACGAGACCGAGTTGGTCACAATCAAATCCTTCCTACACCTAATAACTCTCTTATCTCCACGGCCAACCCTTCTCATGTTTTTTTATCACCTCGCACCGCTAGGGCAAACGATTCGAGTACACGGAACGTTATTCCTGGTCTCCTGAAACCACGCTCTAAACGACATGTAGGAACTTTTAATGTCCGAACATTTTGCCAAATAGGACAACAGGCTTCCTTAGCTAGGACTTTAGAATCTTACACCATCGATGTGTGCTGCGTCTCCGAAACGCGCATACAAGATCCGAGTAGTGTCATTCATTTGATCACACCTAATCAAAATAAAGAACCATCTCGATACACGCTTCGTGTATCTGGAAGCCCTGATGCTGCTTCCCGTGGCCTCGCTGGAGTAGGTATAGCATTAAGTCCCAGGGCAGAACTAGCTCTTTTAGACTGGATTCCAGTAGACAGTCGTCTATGCGCTGTCCGACTAAACGGCTCAGTAAGAACTCGGAAAGATAGGGAAACTCGTCGTTACCTCTTCGTCGTCTCTGCCTACTCTCCCACTGACTGCAGCTCAGACGATATAAAAGATGAGTTCTACAGGAAACTTTCTGACCTTCTCCGCAAAGCTAGGCGTTCTGATGTAGTAATAGTAGCAGGTGACTTTAATGCTCAAGTAGGTAAACTAAGTGAAAGGGAAAGACACCTGGGTGGATCTTACGGTGTCGTTGCTAAAAGAACAGATAATGGCGACCGTCTGTTGCAGCTGTGCTCAGATAACCGCCTATTTCTTGCAAATACTAACTTTAAGCATAAGGAAAAACATCTTTTGACATGGCGACCCCCGAATTCGTCCCAACGTTGGACCCAATTAGATCACATCGCTATCAGCCACCGATGGAGGGGCTCGATAGAAGACTGTCGCTCATTCTGGGGCACATGTTTGGATTCAGATCATGCTCTAGTGTGAGCACGTATCTGTCTGCGTCTTACTGGTCGTAGGAAAGACACTGCAGGGAAGCCTCTAAGGGTTCTACTTAATGATATGCAAGCTAAGAATATATTTCAGGAACAACTAGAAAAACAGTTAGGCAGCTATGTAAGCTGTGCCCACTCCGAGGCAGCGTGGAATGACATCCGAAAAGCTGTAGAAACATTAGTGATATCCACTAGTAAGGTAAACCATAAGGTTAGGGAGAAACAATGGATCTCGGCAGCATCTACCGCACTGATAGATACTCGAAAAGAAAGCTAAGGGCGGCCAGACCAAAACATGGCAGTCAGTCAGTCAGCGACAACGTATGACCAGGCACATATATGCATCGGTCCAAGTTACCATACCTCGTTAGCACAACAAGATCAAAACCGGATTCATAGAAGTAGTTAATTTAGTGGTGGTAGTATATAAAGAAAGGTTGTCTATAAGGATATAGTATAGGAAGGAAAAAAGTTATGAAGCAATTTTCATCTCAAGGTTTAAGGGAAGATAACGAGTGTATACACCTACGCCATTGTGATCGATTTTGATCCATGTCACCCAGAATCTCCAACCATTGGTTACGATAGTTACACAGACCCCAACCAAGTAGTCTGCATGTATCAACATGGCTCAGACTAGAAGTTAGTGAGTTTATGGACTGATGCCATGTTTTGGTTTGGCCGCTCCTAACTCTCTTCCAACCATCCCCTACATTAGTCAACATTGCGCGTCGTGGTAATCGGTGTTCAGGCATGCGGAACACGCGGCCCAACCATCTCAGTTGATGAAGATTCATGACCTTATCAACTGATTTACCATCATTCCCTAATACCCTGCGTCTAACCTCTCTATTACTTACCCGGTTATCCCAGCAGATGCGAGCAATATTTCTAGGGCATCTGTGGTCAAATACGAGTAACCTACGAGTATCTTCTACTTTTAATGGCCATGTTTCACAGCCGTAATGTAGTACAGAGCGAACTGCTGCGCAGTATACTCGTCCCTTAATTGATAGACGGATATCTCGTCTTCGCCATAGGTGACGTAAGTTGGCAAAAGCCAAACGAGCTTTTTGAATCCGTGCTGAGATTTCGTCAGACATCAACCCATTAGGGCTGATCAGACTTCCAAGATAAGTGGAGTTGTCGACGCGTTCGACTACTTCACTCCCTATCCTTAGTTCAGGTGTTGACGCAGGCCAGTCCTGGAGTGACAATTTACATTTGGATGAGGAGAAACGCATCCCAAACATCCTGACATTATTACTCAGTTCTAACAGAAGACTCTGCATTTTGCCAGCGTCTTCACCAAACAGGACTATGTCATCTGCGTATTCTAAGTCGATAAGTGAACCTCCTGGTAGGAGATCAATTCCTGAAAATTCAGTCGACGAGAGTGTTATTTCCAGCAACATGTCTATAATGAAGTTAAACAAAAATGGGGATAGTGGACAGCCTTGACGGACACCACTTGAGGTTGTAAAATCATATGACAGTTCGCCATAAGTTCTCACTCGACTGGTAGTGTTCGAGTAAAGAGCCTTCACAAGGTTTATTTACTTCTCAGGTACACCTTTCAATGACAGACACTGCCACAGAACCTCTCGGTCTACAGAGTCATATGCTGCTTTCAAGTCAAGAAAAACTATCATTGTCGGACGCCGATAAGCGTGTCTGTGCTCTAAAACTCTACGAATGGTGAATATGTGGTCGATACAGTCACGACCAGGTCTGAAGCCAGTCTGATTTTCTCGTGTTTGCAGTTCACGAGTCTTAGTTAGGCGCCTGATAATTATTGAGGCTAGTATTTTAGATGCTATGTTGGTCAGACTAATCCCTCTATGGTTATCGCAGGATGATTTTGACCCCTTTTTATATATTGCGACAAACAGTGATTGTGACCAGTCGGATGGGATTACGTCCGTCTCCCAGATTTTAGCCAGAATATTAGTCAACCTAATCGCTAAAATTGGACCACCATATTTAAAGACCTCTGGAGCCAATCCATCAGGACCAGCTGCCCTTCCTCGTTTCAGATTACTTATAACCTTTTGAACTTCAGGTAGGGTCGGGGGGCCTACTTCAATGTTCCATTCAGGTTTTCTAGGAATAGTGGGTAGTTGTGCAGTAGCTGAAGTCCAGCTAAACTGCTCCTTAAAGTGTTCCGCCCATCGTTCTAAACGTTTAGGTTGAGAGCAGATAAGGGTTCCGTCTTTTTCCGAGATTGTCTCATTTACACTTGACTTCTTAATTCCGGTTTCTTTTATTAGTCTAGAGAGTTAACTGGTGTTGCCTACAGCCGCTGCCTTTTCCATCTCTTTTGCTTTCGTTGCCCACCACTGCTCATGATCGTTCCTTAGACTTTTAGTTATGGTAACTCGAACTGATGTACGTACGTATAAAGTTCTACGTTGTGAATGACTGACTGTATGTCAAGCGAAGGCAAATAACTTCAACCGATAAATTTGTATATTATTCTATTTTTGTTCTATCTATCCAAGGTAGTCTCATTACTACTTTATCATGTAAATCATGAACATAATCCTCAATATGATTGATAGTAATGATTATATACAAAAATTGTGTGAATGAATTCCCCCCCCCTAGATATTAGTTATTATTTCAAACTCTCATCGACTACCTGAGTTCAATCTTAAATGTATGGTTGTGGGTTTATTTGTTTAGGCACATTAATATTGGTACAAAGAGGCACCAGATACATATGTGCCACACAAATCTCATTTGATTTGTGTCAGGTCTGTGGTACTACTCGGGTGCCCAGACCAAAGCAGGTGATTTTCTTAGGGAGCCACACCCTCAGCCTTCGACCTAAAGATCTGATCCATAAGTCAGTGAAGTATCGTGAGGAGATGCAGTCCCATGGTAGCCGGTGACCAACCAATGATTGATTCATACACCATTTATCCCCTGAGGATACTGGGGCCCATGTGGATGATTGGTTTAGAATGAAGGTTTCCCAACTCCCTTATGTGAACTTTCCGTGTCCACCAACCCGGTTATCGTTCCTGCCGGACATTCGCTTTCCATCCTCTGTATTTCGTAAACAACAGTAATGCCACGAGAAGGCGCTTGTGAATTCCCACACTTAAAGCGTTCTATACTCATAAAATTAGCTGTCAGTTATCTCCTCGCGTTTTTTTTCTCAATGGTTGTTTAACTCAAGTCAACACGTGATGTGAAATTTCCTAAATGATACTTGGTTACCTTTTTGTATTATATTGATTCCTTTTTTTTATAATTTCACCCTTTTCACTTGTAACGCACAAATTATTGATCATTTTTCTTTTAAGGATATAACTGGTTTTTTTCTTTCTGTTTTATAGAATCCTTCAATTCAGCATTATCGATAAGTAGAGTAAACAATGTAAGTTTTGTTTTTTGAAAAAAAATTCTCTTTCTGTGAATGTTTACTTCTATACAGTTTTCTTCTGTCATGAATGATCCATCTATATGGTATTATTACTATTATTATTATTATTAGTAGTAGTACTAGTACTTGTATCCCCCAAATGCCCTAGTACGGCGGAGAGTGGGGAGAATCCACTCTCCCTCTCGAAATGCTCTCACATGGCCACGCGTATATAGCCTCTGCCAGTGAAGTCCTACTCACTGCCTTCTCGTTACATTACTGTTGTTTACGAAATTGAGAGAACGAAAACCGAATATCCGGCGCTTTAATCGGGTTGCTGGAAACGGCGCGTCCACCTAGGGGAGTTGGAAAACCCTGATTTCAAAGTAATGGTGCACATGGGCTCCAGTATGCTGAATCAATCACAATTGGTTGATCATCACCCAGTGATCAATCAATTGTGATTACATCTCAGTCCTACAGGAGGTCGGTCGCGGCCCGAATAGCTCAGTGGTAACGTCTCTGACTGTGAAGCTGGGTGACACGGGATCGAATCCGTCAGGGAGCACCAGTTCCCTCAATATTGCAGGTACACCTTGCCGACGAGTGCCAAGTAGCACGAAACCTGGCTCCAGGGTTTCTTGTTGACCACCTCCAACCACCATCTTATCCTGAATCAATCGTTCGTCACCGACTACTATGGGACTAAATCTCCTCACGATCTTCCACTGCCTTGTGGATCAGACCTTTAGATCAAAGGTTCTGGGTGTGGCCCCCTAAGAAAACCACCTGCTTCAGTATGGTCACCTTGGCAGTATCACAGCCGTAACATATATGGAGTGAAGTGCGGCCCATATATATCTGGTGCTTCATTGTACCAATATTTATGTGTTTAAATAGATAAATAAAGTAGTAGTAGAAGAAGTGTAGTGAACAAAATACTGTTGGGGACAAATGAATGCATTTAGGCACAAATTACAGACTATATCACTAAAATGTGATAACTATACAGTAAACAATTAATTTGCAAACTATCAATCCATTGTCTCAATCTTGACCGTTCTTTCTGCAAATATCAATCCATCTTCTCTGATTTCATTGTTCATGCATTTTCATACCGATTGTGTTTCGTTCCGGTTCTATTCTTATCAATCTTACAGTGAAATACATTCTATGCCTGACCATCGTTATATACTACTTATGTGGATATAAGTAATCCACAACACAATAGTAGTACTGTGGTGTGGTCTACTTATAGTATATGGTTTAGGTCAGACATAGAATGTATTTTGGCAGAAGACCGATGAAGAAAGAACTGAAATGAAGCGCAATCGTTTGGAAAATGCATGAGCAGTGGAATTAGAGAAGAAACAGTGAAGAATGAAACAATTGGTTGTTAATTTGCAAATTGACTGTTCATTGTTTGGTAATCAGAATTTATTGAGATAGTCTGTAATCTTTGCTTAAATACATTCGATTGTCCCCAACTAGTGTTCTGTTCACTACAGTACTAATAGTATGGTTGCTAATTAAATTTTATTTTATTGTTATTACATGTCTCTATGTTATCCAAAATATCAATTCTGATTCGTTTGAGTATTCGTTTATTTTGTTTATGTAAACAATCTATGTTTTCTTTTAATAATAACTTCACTATTACATGTATTTATTATCAATTCTAAAAGACTATCAAGATTCAGTAGCTAAGTGGATCATACAATCGTATTTGAAGTAAATGATACTGGATTCAAGTCACAGAGTAAATATCAAAATTGAGATGCAGGTATATCTAGCTGACAAGTCGTAAATAGGATGAAACATGCATCCTTCTTTCCACTGTTAGCCACCATCCATCTTTGTTTAGTTTCTTAAAATGAATACAAATTAATTAATGATCACTTACTTACTTACTTACACCTGTTACTCTCAATGAAGTATAGGCTACTGACTAGCTTTCTCCAACTCACTCTGTTTTGGATCCTCTTTTCTAGTTCTATCCATTTTTTGTTCATTCTTCTCATGTTTGTCTTTATTTCTCGGTGTAAACTTCTTAGAATTAGTCAATAGTAAGCACATAATAATTTGTAGATGGATAGATGGATGAATGAACACTGCTGTGGTCGGCGATCTATCTCTCCTGGGACGTGATAGTGATCCACAGATTGTCAGTTTTTTTCTTTTCTTTTTTACAGGCGGGAAAACATACTGAATCCAATGAATTAACTCAATATCAATTAATCAGTAATTTATATCAACAATCTATATATTCACCAATAATAAGTAATATATTATGTTTTCATCAAATTTCTCAATCAATTAATCTTACTATTATACATAATTCTATCATGAATCTCAAGGATATTCCTACTTCAATGATACATAATGAAGAGAATACAGCTAAGAATCTATGGTCATTTACATTTCATATGAGTCATGATGAATTGTCTAGTTATTTTTTACCTACTACTATCAATACTACTGATAATACTACTAATAGTAGTACTACTACTAATAGTAATGATAGTAATAATAAAGATCAAATATCCAATACTATCCAATCTAGTAATATTAATGAAATTATTAAAGGATCACCAAAAGAAATTTCTATATGGAGGGATTTATTTGTTATGACATTAAAGCAAATCGGGATTAAGTAAGTGTAGAGTGTCTTCTTTGGTTTGTTTGTTTATTTTTTTTTGTTTTCTAATGATTATTGAGTTGAAATTTGTTATTTGTGTATTTGTTAGGTCCCGACGAGAATATTAGATGGTAACTGTTGGGATCCATTCAGGGACTAATACTATACATAGTCAGTCAGTCAGTCAGTCAACGACAACGTATGACCAGGCACATATATGCATCGGTCCAAGTTGCCATACCTCGTTAGCACAACAAGATCAAAACCGGATTCATAGAAGTAATTAATTTAGTGGTGGTAGTATATAAGGAAAGGTTGTATATAAGGATATAGTATAGGAAGGAAGAAAGTTATGAAGCAATTTTAATCTCAAGGTTTAAAGGAAGATAACGAGTGTTGTATACACATACACCATTATGATCGATTCTGATCCATGTCACCCAGAGTCTCCAACCATTGGTTACGATAGTTACACAGACCCCAACCAAGTAGTCTGCATGTATCAACATGACTCAGACTAGAAGTTAGTGAGTTTATGGACTGATGCCATGTTTTGGTTTGGCCGCTCCTAACTCTCTTCCAACCATCCCCTACACTAGTCAACATTGCGCGTCGTGGTAACCGATGTTCAGGCATACTATACAAATATTCTTATTGTATAATTGTTAAGTAGCTAAACTATGTATATTCATATTGTTCTTATTATAAGTTTTATTATAACCCATAAACTATCACTATACGACTTACCATTCTTGAGTTATACCCAGTCAATTAATTACTGTCTCCCATATTCACAACCACTTTTGGCTAGATCCTGTACAAATGTTATTTTTTAATTTGTGGTGTGATGTGGTCAGTTTGGTTTGTATATAAACCCATTTTGTTTAAAATACATGATTCATATTGCTGTTATAACTTATGGCCGAGTGGATGCCATCATAATACCGGCAATTAGAGAGCAGCGATTTATTGGTCGGACCAATGACACCTGAAACCCGTACGAGCAGTCTAAAGTACTTATAGGTCCTGCTTTCTGCCTAGCCCAGTCAGTTAAGTCCAGAACAGCCTCTTCGGTATGAATCATTATATTTCAAACATACTGAGTTTATAAAGCAATCAAACAGACCACTTCGTACCATAAAATAAGAAACGATATTTGTACAAGATTTAGCCAAATGTGGCTGTGTAGAGGAGGAGATAGTAAATAATAGACTAGGAATAACTCATGAATGGTAGATCCTACAATAATAGTCTATAGGTCAAAATAAAGCTTATAATGAGAGAAACATGAATATGAATAGTTTAGTTATTTAACAATTATACTATAAAAAATACATGCACAGTATTGAATCATAAATAGATCCCATAGTTACTATTCATTATCCTTATCGGGGCATAACAATTGCATAGGTTGAAATTGATGTTTCTGAACTCAAATATACAGATCTAGGCAAGTAGAAAGACTGATAAGGAATTTCGACTGCTTATACGGGCTTTATGTGTCATTCGTTCGTCGATAAATCACTATTCTTTAATTGACGGTATCATTACTTCCTGTTTATTGATAAGGGCACAAATCAACATGTTATAACAGTACTAGTATCTATTTTCTATGAAAAACATGAATAATTACCTATAAACAATTGTCCAATGTATAAAGATGATTATATAATGATTTAATGGTTATAATAAGTGAAAGTAAACAATAACAATATTGTATGCTAATATACTTAGTATTGTTTGTTTGAAAGTTCCCATCGATGTGTTAGGACTGCATTTGTTCAGTGTCTAATTAGTATATGTGCATAATGTGCGTATTGCCTAGATATAGCCTAAATTCACAAGCATTGTAAGCAAAGATGAATAGTGGTTAGTAGTGGAATCCAGTTTGACACACGTTTCGTCCTATTTGGGACTCGTCAACTGGATGTACCTACATCTCAGTGTTGATGTTCACTCTGGGACTCGAATCCATTAACTTTCACATCAAGCGCCATCACGTTATCCACTCGGTTATCTTCTTCTATACCCCTAAGTTATTGAAATCAACACAATTTATTCATGTTTCTCAAATGATTTAAATTCAATTTATCAAGTAAATGGTGTAGTTAATTTTAGGATTCATTTTATTAAGATCATTTTAAAATGGGTTTAAATGAGTTACTGACTATTTGAATGACCCTGTAGTTTATACTATTGATATTGACAGATATAAGTAGTATGTATTATCAATGGAAAGTGAAATACGTGGTGGTAGAATGTTAAGAAGATTGAATAAAAGAGAATGATTCGTGTGGTAACGGATGAACAATGAAATCTGCGACGATTGATTAACATTTCTCAAATAAAGTATTTCCTGTATAATTCTCAGATTTGACTAAGATGTTTTGTAATTTTGTATTCATATACATTTGGTTGTCCATACCTGTGTTCTCGTTCACTACAGCCCGATATCTGTCTCCTGATAGATTGCCTCTGTTTTTTTTATCGAATAATTACTGTTGAAATATACATATCGTATAAAATTATCGGCTTTAATCACGTCGGTGAATAATGGAATTAAATAAGTCAAATATGAGAATATGAATTGAATAATTACAATCGTATAATCGTCAATCAAGCAGCGAAGCAAAACAAAATGACGCGTGATGGAGTAGGCGAGTAAGCCAACTCCATTTATAAAAAACAGTTACAAACATGTGATGAATAGGATAAGACGTACGTACACATACGTTTAGATAGAAACAATCCAGATTAATAACCCAATAAGTGGCAAGGTCAAAGTGTAGCTTGAAAAGAATGGATAGATTAGTTTGTCTAGAAGCTAGTATAAGTTATGAAGGTTAAACATAGTGTCATCCATTACACTTTCATGTTGTGTAGATCATTTACACATTAGTGATGTACATAAATTCCGTAGTGGTTAGAATGTAAGAAAACACATCTGTTTAATTAGTGATGATTGATTGTATCAAGGATCCTGATGATATCCTATTGATAATGTATAACTTATATTGGATAATAAAATCCTCTAAAAGTGAATAATCACTATGTGAATTTAAACTTCATCCGATTGCATAGACAAATGGTTATCAGGACTCAGTAGTTAAGGGGATAACGCAATGACGTTTAAAGCGAAAGGTACAGGGTTCGAGTCCTAGAGTGAACATTAACTCTGAGATGTAGGTATACATCCAGTTGACGAGTCCAAAATTAAAGGAAACACTCGTCAAACTAGATTCAACTCTTAGTCACTATCCATCTTTGGCTTATAACCCTTCTTTCTATGTTTTCTTTTTTTTTTTCTTTTTTTTCTTCCCTCTAATCTAGTAATGATTGTTATCATTTAATTTTGGCATTTATTCAAATTACTTTACATAAATTATCTCCAATGGATTCATTTCATTATACTAATAAAACAATCAATGTATCCATAGAATATTATCACTTAGTAACTAATTGTTTTATACAAATGGTTCATTTATGCAATAAATCAGTAAAACATAATGATTATTATTATAATGATAATAATCAACCTTTTAAAACTGTGATCACTTTACAATTGGGCTTTCAATTAATACCATCATCATCATCACCATCGACAACGTCGACGACGACGACGGAGACGACAACAACACATCCTCATTATCATCATTTATCTTCAATGATTTCATCTAACATAATTAACTCTTCTACTATTCTTAATCAAACTGATAATTCCCTTAAAAAATCTTCATTATATAATGATGAATTGTAAGATTATATTACTTCTACTTTTTTTCTTCTGTTTTTCTTTTTCATTTTCTTCTTCTTTTTATTTGTATTGTTTTGATTATTGTAAAGAAAACTTGACTGTTGCCATTACTACTACTACTCCTCTTCCTCCTCCTCCTCCTCCTCCTCCTCCTCCTACTACTACTACTACTACTACTACTACTACTACTACTACTACTACTACTACTACTACTACTACTACTACTACTACTACTACTACTACTACTACTACTACTACTACTACTACTCTTACTACTACTTGTATTACTGCTGATAGATGAGGTATTTTTGGTTTGTAAGAAAGACAAACTTCTTGTGTATTTGATTATGTTCAATATACTTCTCATCTATTGTTGTTTTTTGTTTTTGTGAAAAGGATTGTAATTTGTATGTTTGTTTGTTTGTTTTTCTATTTGTATCCATTGACAATCTAAGTGATATTCTTGAAAGTATTTATTTAAACACAGAAATATTTAATACAAGAAGTCGCAGAATACATACACGCCATACAAGTCCCTTGATTTGTGTATAGGCTGTGATACTGCCCAGGAGAGTCATACCCTAAGCCTTCTACTTAAAGGTCTAATCCACAAGACAGTGGAAAAACGTCACTAAATTCAGTCCCAAGGGTATTCGGTGACCAACAATAGGTTCATACGCCATTTGTTCTTTCAGGATCCTGGAGTCCATGTTCATCATTGGTTTGAATGTAATGTTTTCTAACTCCCCTGAATAGATCCTTCATATCCACCAACCCAGTTTAAGTACTAGACATTCGCTTTTCGTCCTCTTAATTTCGTAAACAACAGTAATGCCGTGAGAAAGCAGTTAGTAGGATTTCCCTGATAGTGACCGTATATGCGCGGCCATGTGAGAGCTAACGCTCCTCACTCTCGGCCGTTACAGGGCATTTGAGAGCTGTATAGTAATAAAAACAAATTAAATATGTTACTGATTATCATTATTAGTAGTATTATAAGAAGTAATTTCCTACAAATGCAATTCTAAACTTATTCCCTAGACCATCAAGCTCAGAGTCTTAGCTTAGCTAAAGTTAGAACAAGTAAGTTATTTAGTTTGATAAACTTTATTTAAACACATAAATATTTGTACAAGGAAGCACCAGATAAATATGCGCCTCACAAATTTCATTTGATTTGTGTGAAGGATGTGATACTGCCCAGCTGCCCAAACTGAAGCAGATAGTTTTCTTAGGGGGCCAAATCCGGAGCCTTTGACCTAAAAGTCTGATCCACAAGATAGTGGAGCATCGTGAGGAGATGCCCTTTCATGGTAGCCGGTGACTAGCGATTGGTTCATGCTCCATTTGTTCACTCAGGATACTGGAACTCATGCGCACCATTTGTTTGGAATGAGGGTTTTCCAACTCCCCTAGGTGGACTTTCCGTATCCACCAACCCAGTTAGGGCACCGAACATTCGTTTTTCATCCTCTGAATGTCGTAAACAACAGTAATGCTTTGAGAAGGCAATGACTAGGACTTGTGTGGCAGAGGCTATATACGCGTGTCCATGTGAGAGCATTTGGAGAGGGATAGGGGACTCTCCTCACTCTTGGCCGTACCAGGACATTTGGGGGCTTCTAAAACATAAATTAACACTGTTGATATACAAAATAAACAATTAATAATACAGTTTATTAAACAGTGAAAAAAGGAATACATAAATAACATACCGAACATTAACTAGTGAGGATAGGAAAAATAAATCAAGGAATGAACTATAAGAGCAAATTATAATCATACAAGGTATAAAAAAGAGTTAATGTGATGTAGGGCGTCTCATACTGTGATTGATGGTTCCATCGATTCTTGGAATGCAAATTTGATTATTAATAAAAATTCTTTCCTACACTATCGGACACCTCTATTCACTCTAATCAAGTGTCCTTTTAGCCTTATCAAGTAATCTCTCAACGTATCGTTATATCCCGACCGTTGCTGCTACCTTGACGTGGTGGTCGGGCTTGCCCATCGTAATGAACAAATAGAGCTCTACTGGCTGGAACAATCGTTTTTCAAGGTCCTACCATGCCAGACAGGTCGGTTGAAGAGCGGTAAGACTAAAAGCAGCAAACCCAAGGTCCGAAGGCGAAGTCGTAATGCTGACTGTACAGAGGTGCGACGGCAGTAAGGTGTTTCCTTCAGACAACCAGCATAACAGCGATGCTGCCCACCCACAAGGAGGGGTGGGGTTAGAACAGGTCACACCAAAAATGCATACCTCGCCTTATCCCACAGATATCCGTCTCCGGCGGTAAGGTCCTTTGAAGAACGGAGCTAACACAAAAACTACCCACGAAAAGGTCGTGGGTGATCAACCTCAACCAGTTGTTCCTTGGGCACTGTGATCGCGCTCTCAGGTCATTAAGACCACTTCTAATCCACTTCCCTTTTCAGGTACCTTTAGAAGAACCCTTCTACGGTCTAGGCAACCGGAAAGTGCTAACTGCTCTCATACCTATAATAGCACTCAAGACCACTGTATTCATATGATGGTTATATAATTGTGGATATATTTAACTCATTATTTACTCATTTATTCCTATGTACAGTATTGTGATGTTTATATGAACCAATGATTCCTTTGTACACTTGATGACTGCTTGATTTCGAATTCCAAATACAATACATTCGTTCAAGTTCACCTAGTACTTTTTGATTAAATTGCGTTATTTCTGGGATTCCTAGTTTATATTACAATTCAAATACTCCTAATTATCACAAGTATCGAATGTTTTTGTTAAATAAACAAGTTACTGAAGATAATTGGTGAACGGTTTCTTAAACTTCGTGGATTGGTTAAAGTTAGATATTAACACCGTTGGATGCCGGCTTGCTCAGTGGTCTATCGGTTAAGTGCTCTGGCGCGAGACTGGTAGGACCTGGGTTCGAATCTCGCGATGCGAGTTCGTGGATGCTCACTGCTGAGGAGTCCCATAATAGGACGAAATGGCCGTCCAGTACTTCCAGGTTTTCGATGGTAGTCTAGCTTTAATTTACTCATGATTTCAACTATGAAAGTACTGAAATCTCCACAAAACCCCTTCTGATTATAAATAAACAAACATAAGTACAACTCTGGGTTTAGTATCGCAACACAACGACTACAAACTTTACTCTCACTAATCAGTACAAATGGTAGTTTCTGATTACACATACCATGAAGGAATACTTTCTTGTATCAATCATGTTATAATGTATAAAGCCTCTTGCGATATTTCATACCTACTCTTACCTTTACTTCATATCGAATCAAGTACGCCTAACGAACAGTTACCATTTGAGATATAGTTTATATAAGTATCAGTTAATTTGAGTAACTTAGTTGTCATATTCATTATGTGGTCTCCAGAATGAGACTTATAAACTTTTTACTTTTAATATACTTCAAGCTATCTCATGGCATTTCGAATTTCACAAAAAAGGTTCTGAAATCACCAACGTCGGTTAACTCGTTAGTGTTAGAGTGTTTGGATAAGTGAAAGTTAGGGTTTGAAATGAAATCTCCAGTAAAAGCCCTTCCGAAATAAAGCGCTCATCCATTAAATGATAGAGAAATTACTACATACTCCACATATATTAAACACTGAAAAACAGATGAATAACTACATTTCAGCATGGTATGTTTACTCCACATTCACATTCCTTCGTAGTTGTTTACGATCGACCTTATGTTTATAACATCTCGTTCCACTGCTGAATATATTTGATGTATAGATTATAAAGCTGCTGTTTCTTGCTTCTTTAGGCAAGAGATGGAGAAATATACGAACTTCTGTGGGGGTTTTCTTTGAGTTTCTCAGTAATCTAAGATTTTATAGAGTTGAGATCATGAGTCAATTGAAGCTAGACCACCATAGAGAACCTGGAAGCACTGGATGGCCGTCCTGTCTTATTGTGGAACTTTTTAGTGGCAGTGCGGATCCACGATCCCGCCTCGCAAGATTCAAACCCCGGACCTACCAGTCTCGCGCATGAACAACTTAACCACTAGACCACTGAGCCGTTCGGCATCCAACGGTGTTAATGTGTAACTTCAAACAGTCCACGAAATTTAGCAACCATCCGCCATCGTCTCCAGTGAGTTGATATCTCCCAACAGACCTGGTTGCTGAAGAGACGAAACGACCGTCCAGTGCTTTCAGGTTTTCGATGGTGGTCTACCTTCAATTGACTCATGATCTCAACTCTATAAAATTACTAAAATCTCCACAAAACCCCTTCTGATAATCTCAGATTTTTTATAACCTGTAAACAATTTGTGGAAACTCGTCAGTATACGTGGTTGCGAGACATAAGCCAAAACATTTGAAACTGGAAAACCTATGACAATAAATACATATCTGGAAACGAGTTATCGATCAAAAGTCCTGTCTGATCGACCCAATGTTGTTTTTGATAATGACGAATGTGATCGTGAATCCATTTTGAATAAATGCTAATAGATGAAGCTATGTGGCGGTGTTTAGGAGATGGTTGATATTTATGTAGACGATGTATGCACTCGATTCGTTCCAAGTAGTGCCTCTCGCTTGGCTTTTCCCCCGTTTCCTGTTATATTTTTTTGGTCTGCATAATATTGATTGTGAAGCTTTTGTGGGCTACATCTATTCATGATGATCCTAGCAATTTCTTTGTTATTTTGGGATTCATTAATTAAGTCCACTGAATGCTACCCAATAATAAATAAAACTGCAGAAAATTTCGGTATCAATAGGAAATGTGATGGCATCCTGACGTTCAGTAAATTACGAAATGTCCTGTCGATTACTACTATATTTTATTCAAAACTTTACTGTCAAGCTAAAATTATACTGTCTGTATTAAGGTGAAAGCTCAATGTCAAGCCATTACAGTAAGCTGCATGTTAGACTTAGTTAAAGACATGGTAAAGTACATTCGATATTTAAAAAAGCCAACCGTAAGGCAGATCTCGGATACTACGGTTGAACCGTAGTATTTACGAAAGACTAAGGACTAACAGCAAATACGGAAGTACATAGTATCTTGAAAGTTCATGGTAACCCATAATTGGCTGATGAAAACCTGGACGAAAAACTTTTTACATGACATACAACAGAAACACGTTCCAACATGTCAACTCAAGGAATGAATACATAGTTCTCTTAAAAGTATATGCTTATACGTGTGCAGAAATCCATCTATTCACTCCATATACAAACATTGCGCTGCCCCTTCTTTGTAGCACTTCGTTGATTGCTTTTTTCATGTATATTATGGTTCTGAAATTGAATAACTACCTGATGTTATCACATTTTTTAATTCCTATTTCATCTTTGTTTCAATTAACTTTTCCTTCTGAAGATTTCGATT